TTCCCATCAGTTTAATTAAAATTCAGAAAAGCAGGAAAAGATAACCTACAGTGAAGTTTAGGGAAAGTCTGAAGGTAGAAAGTTGTTTTCAGCTGTAAGCTTATGAGTCCCACCCACTGAATATACCAGCCATTCCACAAATACATACAATACTAAATTTAAAAAAAATTACTACATTTACTACATGAAAATGCAGCACCCGGAGAGAAAACTCAAGTAGCAGAGCACATTCCTTGCATGTATGAAATCCTGCAGCTAATCCCTGTGCCCTAGAGCACCACCCTGGGAATGGCCTTCAATGCTACCAGCCTACAACAGGCCTAACTTTGTCAGAAGTGTAACCTTATACACAAATATATATATATATATATATATTCACAACTATAAACATAAATTTCCAAGTGGGTAAACCACACAAAATGTATCAGCACTCATCATTTAGTAATCAAAGATACTTAAATTGAATGTGGAGTTAGTTATCTAGTTTTTTTTTTTTTTTTGGCTTTTTGGGTCACACCCGACAATGCACAGGAGTTACTCCTGGTTCATGCACTCAGGAATTACTCCTGGCGGTGCTCGGGGGACCATATGGGATGCTGGGAATCGAACCTAGGTCGGCTGCTTGCAAGGCAAATGCCGTACCCGCTGTGCTATTGCTCCAGCCCCAGTTATCTAGTATTTTAACAGGGAAAAGGATGATTTGCTTTATGATAATCTACTATATACTAAAATTTTATTAAAGTACACTTACAGGCATTCTACAGTGTAAAAACAAAGATAATTTGTAACCAAGTCTTTTAGCTTTCAGTCAAGAAATTCTTCTTGGACTGGATTGGATTGGATTGGATTTAGCTAAATCCTCCTCCCTCCATTATTTGCTAGTTTTATAAAAACGTTCAAATATGCTTAGGCTTTGAACTTTAGTAGAAGAATGCATAAAGTTAATTATTAATAGGCTAAATTCCAAGAATAACAACCTGGTTTTTCCAGGTAGTACTTAAAAAAAAATTTAGAATACTCTCACCTATACTATTTAAGGATAAACACATTTCACTAAGTTCCTTTCAAATAAGCATTAAAAATCCCGTAATGTCCCTCTCAGAGACAGATCTAAAATGGTACTACATTCAATAAAATGGCAAAATAATTCATGAGCACTGATTAGAAAAAAAATGTAAAATATTTTAAAAATATATTCATTTAAGTTATAGGGGGGAATCTTTTGGGGCTAAAGAGAAAGCTCAACAGGCTAGAACACATAATCTGCATGCACAAGGCCCAGGTTCAATCCCCAGCACTACGTGGTCCTCTCTGAGCACCACCAGAAACGATTCTCAAGCACTGGCCCATGAACATATGTGCCTCCCAACAATCTCTAAAAGTTGAATTAATCTCATTAAGCCTTAACAAAATATCCCAGCCTTACCCTAAAGCAGATGTGAAACCTAAATAGGTTCATGATCAAAACTGAGACACAAGAAATATATCAGAAATATATCAGGAGGTTGGAGACATAGCTCAGTGGTACAGCACTAAACTTCCTGGGAATCTAACCCAGAACTTAGATTAGCCATAGGTTAGATTCCCAGCAACACACATACACAGAAAAAATTAATATGAAGAACCAGGAAGATAGTATAGCAGTTAAGGCACTTGCCTTGCATGCAGCCACCCTAGGTTCAATCCCCAGCATCCCATGGGGTCACCTGAGCCATCCAGGAGTGATCCCTGAGGACAGAACCAGAAGTGAGCCCTAAACACTACTAGGTGTGCTGCCCCCATCGCCCCACCCCCCCCCCCAAAAAAAGGGAAATGTAAAAAATTAGTCATAAACAATTCTGGGGGGACTGGAGCGATAGCACAGTAGGTAGGGTGTTTGCCTTGCACAAGACCGACCCAGGTTCGATTCCCAGCATCTGATATGGTCCCCTGAGCACCACCAGGAGTAATTCCGGAGTGCAGAGACAGGAGTAACCCCTGTGCATCGCCAGTGTGACCTTAAAAAAGAAAAAAAAAATCTGGGGGAAAAAAATCTAACTTTTTCTAGGGGTCTCTTAAGTAGGGCTCAGGGGCCCAAGGGCAGCTATGGGGTCTATGTGGTACAGCTCAGCCCTCCCGGGACTCAGGGAATCACCAGGGACACAGCTAGTTGTGGGGAGAGAGACGGGGATCAGGAAGACAGTGACCATGATAGACATGTGGAGTCAGGGATTGAGCTCAGGGCCTCTGAATGTAAGGCATGCAGTTCAGCCTTCTGAGCTATCTCCCACCCACTAGAAATGCTTTCCACACATGCTAATAATCTCTCAATCTTCTATACAGGCAAAAATGGACACAGCTGCTACATGTCTTATCAGCATCATTCTTAATTACCTTAGTAATTATATCTGACAAAGGAAATGCTTTATAAATCATTCTAAAGGATGTCTCACACACAAAAAAAAGCATGAACAATACCAACGAATACATATACCAGAATTTAAAAAGCAACAATACTTTAATATTCCAACAATTATAAAATGAGATAATCTTAGAATTTAGCCTCAAAACATTAAAACCTATTCCAGAAGAGGGAAAACGCTTTAAAAACATTTGCAGTAACTAGAGTGCATTTTATGTAAATGAAAGTGTTGTGGGTTTAACTACTTGAAAATTTTCTTTTAACATCTCAGTATTGATTGCCAAGATCTCTGAAGTTCTTATCCAAATAAAATATGCCAAGCATTTCTTATTCAAGATATCACAGCTAGCCTGCATTGTTTTTTATTATCAATGCTGTCCTTTAGGCTTCTCCCTGACACAAGACTATTAGGAGTACTTGCCAATTAACTCCTCTCACAAAACGCTGACATGTGACGAAAATCCATTAGAACTTTCTATTGCTAAAATCTGAGGAATTACTCTCCTATTTCTAGGAATAACCATAAAAAGCAAATAACCAGTAGGCCTAAAATCTGAAGATTCTTACACATATTTAATAATGTGTATGGCGCTATGATTATACCAGTAAGACAAAAGGGTTCATCTAAATTCAAAAGTTATCAAACTACATAATTGTATAACAATCAAGATACCAAATAAAGTAAAGCACTGTTTTTACTTTATGTAAATAGAATAAAAAAAATAGGCAGTGCAATCTTATTTTTGTAAAAAAAAATGCCTTATTTAAAAACACTTCTTATAGGAAAAAAAGTTCACTGTTCCTCTTGCAGATTTTTTTTTTAACTAGAAAAATGCTGAATGGCAAAGATCACTTAGAGAAAACAGAAACATCAAAATCATCAGTATGGAAGTCAAAATAAAAATACTGGTTGGATAAGCCCTCTTTCGACCTTCATTTTAAAATGTCGCTTATTAAACTGACAATATGAAAATGTAACCCAATAATCTGAGCATCATAAAGTTGCTTATTAACCTGGAAACAGGCTGTGATGGAGCTGGACTTCCGGGTGCTCGCCGGGCTCTCCCAGCATTAAGCTGACACTGGTCAGCACAGAACTTCACGCTCAAATAGTTTTGGGTCTTAATCGCCCCCTAGAAACTCAGCACCAAGCACTGGTCCCACTCGTATCTGAGGCTTAATGAATATCTGGTGAGATTTAATTCCACTAACATAATCGCAGCTGTCTTTCACCCTCTAACTTTTTAGCCTTCTTCCCTTTCTGGTAAGCAACTCAAGTACCGAAGTCCCTTAGAGGCACCTAACATTTCCCCCCACTATGAAATAAATAGAAAGCTGGGTGTCGAACGAATAAAATACAAACCACGCAGGTCTTCTTTATTTTCTCCGTTCTTCTCTGAAAGCAGGCTAAAAAAGAAACAAGGTTTCTTCGGAAGAAAACGTCCACCAACTTTGTTATATTGTATCACTGCACATTTCGAACACACTTTCTATATTGCTCATATCGCTAACAACTTATTCCACCCCCCCCCCCGCACACACACACCCACCCACCGACAGTAAGTGTATGTTGGCCCGGAACACGCAGGGAGCACGTAAACAAGAACACGACAAGCGTCTCGCCAACGACGCTGCCCTCCAAACCGAGCGGAGCTAGACGTGAGATAGGCCTTGCTTACTACCACCGCCCCCTGGCCTGGACCCTAGTCGGGGGATTCCGGCCGACCGTCCAATGGTTTACTGAGCAGCTACTACACGCCCAGGCCCTTGGAACACAACAGCTGAAGTTTGCTCAACGCAGCATCACCAACCCCGGGCCCGCTGCCCATGCTATGGTTTTAAATCGCCGCCTCCGCGGGCGAAATCGCACCGGAGTCGCACCTACAGCAGCTCCGGGGGTCGGTGCGTCCGTCCAGGTAGCTCCCCAAAGCTTAGGACTGCGGCACCGGCGCGCCGCTACCCACCACCAGGCCCGTTACCGACCATCATCGCCGCGCGAGCCAGGCGGAGCAGGGGTGAAACAACCTGTAAGAGTGGACCCGCTCCCGCCCGCCCCGGAGGAGGTCGGGGCTTTCCCTCCGGGGCCCCCCAAAGGCACGGCGGCAGGACCCCGCGGCACGAACCGAACGGCCGGGCGCCCGCGGCGGCCAGAGTCCAGGTCCGGGGCTCCCCGCCCCTCGGAAACCCTCACCTGAAGGCCTCGGACCCTCGCCGCGCGCCCCCCACGCACATGCACACGCATACGCACACGCACACACCCCACTCCCGATTTGCAGTCCTGCAAAGTTGGGGGTCGAAGGGGAAGAGGTGGAGGGTCTTCCTCTCCCATTTTACACCAGGCGGGCGGTTGGCTCTCTCAGCCGCGCGTCCGTCCCGAGTTTCAAACCGTTTCTCCGAGGCCGTGCATGGAGGGGAGGAAAGCCCGGGCAGGGGGGCCCGCCGGGAGACCTCCGCCAGACCTGGGGGGCCGGAGCCCCAGGCTCAGCCCACTCCCCGCAGCGCGCCGCGCCGCCAGGGCCGGGCCGCGCTCGCCCCGGAGCCCTCGCCGCGGCGGAGGGTCGCGGCGGAGGGTCCCCGGCGCTGCAGGCGCGGCACTCACCGTCGCCTTTGTCTCGGCCGCCCGCGCCCGCTCGGGCTCCGGCTCCGGCTCCGGCCGCCGCCGCCGCCTCCGCTGCTGCTGCTGCTGCTGCTGCTCCCCGCGCCGGCTCCGCGGCTCCTGCCGGCCCCACGCCCGCAGCTGCGCTCCCCGGCGCGTTCGCCGCTTCCTGGCCCCGCCCTCCGCGGCCGGGCTCGCGCGCGGGCGGGGCGGGGCGACGGGGCGGCGCGCGCGCCCAGGGCCGGGGGGCGGAGCCGACCGCGCCGGAAGCTGGCGAACTGGCGGCGGGCGGGCGAGCGGGCGACCGCCTCCCCGGGCCCGCGGGGGTCGGCCCGCGGCTCGCGCGCCTCTCCCCGCCCCCCACCCCCGACGGCGCGGAGCGGGCGGCGCCTGCGCTGGAAGCGGGGCCGCGGGCGCGCGCGAGGGTCGCTCCGCGCCGTCGGCGGCAGTTGAGCGATGCTGGGAAGATCCTGCGTTTTTCAACGTCCAGGAATCCTTGCGTCTGTCGCTGGCCGGCAGATCCAACCACCTGGCGTGGGCAGTGGGTGATAGTGTTCTCCCGCTGGGATCTGTGCCGCCTTTTAGTGTATGTTCTGTGTCCACGCCCCACCCCCACCCACGCCCAGATCTCCGAAACGGGAGTGCCCCTACCTAGCAGCCATGTCATTCCACCATAACGCCTACCAGAAGTTTTCAAGCCTGCACCGCTTTGAATAGAGTCATAGACATCTTCCCCATCTCGATTTGCACGAAAGCAATGCTTGTTTTCTATTTCCCCTGAGCTGCGAGTTTCACCCCAGCTCAAAAACAGCAACTCAGCACGGTGCCTCGGTCCTTGCTCCCAGCTCTGTCAGTTAGTTGGCTCCTCTCGGTACTCCACCTCCAATCTGTCAAGGAAGCCTGTTGGTTGTACCTTTAAAATGAATAAGAATCTGTCCACGTTGCTTCCATCTTCTCTGGCCTAACTTTCAGCAGACCTACTGCACGGTTCCTCTCCCCACAGTGATGTGTTCTACTGGCAAAACAAGCAAGACTCTCCAACTACAAGGAAATTCACCTTATATCTGCTGATTTAAAAAAAAAAAATTGCTCCCTGTTTCACTCCACGTGAAAGCTGAGGTCTGTATAATAACCTCAGAAGCCCTTGGATCAGCCTTTTCTCTTTACTGCTAACTCCTGTCCCAACCATTCTTCGTTGCTTTACCGAATTATGCAGGACAGCTGCTGAACGTCCTTCTGACTGTCATTCTCTCTGTCAGGAACACTCTAAAACCCCTGTGTCCACCTTCATTGATTTTTGCTCTGTGGACCAAACCCGGCAATGCTTACTACTACTTCCTGCGCAGTGCACCAGGTCCCACTGCTACTGGGTGCTGGGGTGCTTAGAAAGCACCCACACCTGGGGGCACAGAGATAATACAGCGGGTAGGGCACTTGCCTTGCATGTGAGCAGCCTGGGTTCAGTCCCAGCACCACCTCTGGTCTCCCCCTCACCCTATCCTCCTGCATCCCAAACTCCTCGCAGGGAGTGATCTTTGATTCTGTGATCTGTGAGCACAGAGCCAGAACTAAGCCCTGAGCAACAGGGTGTGGCTCCCCCAAAAAAACACCCACACCAATCTGTTGCGCTAGCTCTCCCACCCCACTTTCACTACTTTTAAGGCCTTGCTCAAATGTCACCTTAACAATGCTTAGTTTGACATGTTATTTAAAATTGTAACCACTCTACTCCAAGACTAAATTCTTCCTAAGTGGTTATTATTTTTCTTTTCCTCTCAAGACATTTGACACTTGAAGCTTGTACCAATCTTTATAATTACTTTGTATGTTTATTTTTAGAGTCTGTCTTTCTCATTAAACATGGGCTTTTTGTCTGTTTTGTTCAGCTAATCTCTCCCCAGAGTCTAGAGTAAACGGGGAAGGGGAGAGGATTTTTAATCCCTGTGAGATAATAAAAAAAAATCTATAAGGCAACAAAAACCAAAAATGACTGATTTCTTTTTATTTTAAACTTCTTCTTTTTTTCTAATTCCCATCAGTTAAATTTGAACTTCTTCCTGTCTAGCATTTTGAAGGGGGAGGAGCTTCCCCAATAGTGCTGGGACCACCAGGGCTACATCTTTTAGAGCTCAGGGAGATAGTGCTGTGCCAGGAGTTGAAGAGAGTGGGAGATGGTTGCTTGCCCCCTACTCTAAAGAGGCCCCACAATTCTCAGCCCGGAGATCAGGAGTTACATTGTATTTCTGTCTCTTCTGAGATAAGGCCTTTCAAATAAATTTAAGTAGTTTGCTTCATTGAAGAAAAATTTAAAAATAATGATAAAAATAGTTGAACCCCATGTCCTGTGCATACACCCTAGTCCTTTGAGCTATTTCTCTGGCCTTAAGCATTTTTATTTTCTAGTGGTAATTTGACATTTAATGCAGTATTTTGGATCAATGATATGTTGGTATCCTACTTCACTGAATAGGCATAATCTGAGACACTTGAGGAAGCTTCTGGTGTGAAACTCAAAGGCATATTAATTCTAAAATTTCCCAGGTCAAAGATGCAGAAATCTCCTGAACTCAATGTATGTGTTTGCATTCCTTCCTCTGAATTACAAATAGTCATCATGCTATATACCTATTATTTGTTCATTATGTAAACATCTCCAGATTTTTTTTTTGGATTTTGTTTATAACAAGATGTGACCAAATACCTTGACATCTAGTTTCAGTTATTCATAACCTGTCTTATCAGTGGGAAAGAAGGAGAAAATTCCATTCAATGGAAAGATGTTGATTGTATGAATGTGCGTAATCATTTCTCAATATTACATTTATAGCAATTATATCTTTGCATTATCATTTAAAGTAGTTTAATCATAAATTATCCCTTAATTTATAAGGGAGAAATAATACAGGAATTTACATATTTCCCTTGCACACAGCCAACTTTGGTTTGCTACCCAGTACTGCATATGGTCCCCTGAACACTGCCAAGAAATGGTCTCTGAGGGTAGAACCATAAGTAAATCCAGAACACCGCCAAGTATGGCCCCCAAAAACCAAACAAAAAATAAAAATAAATCGCCCCGAGTTCGATTCCTCCGCCCCTCTCGGAGAGCCCGGCAAGCTACCGAGAGTATCTCGCCCGCACGGCAGAGCCTGGCAAGCTCCCCCTGACGTACTCGAAATGCCAAACACAGTAACAACAAAGTCTCCAATGGAGACGTTACTGGGCCTGCTCGAGCAAATCGACGATCAACGGGAGGGCCTTTACCTTTACCTATACTTTGCAATTTGAAATCTTTTCATAAGATAAAATAGACTGATTTTGTTTTTTAAAACGATTAACAATGCGTTTCATTAATATAAAAATATGGTTTGTAATTACAATTCGTCTCCTTGAAATGATACCTTGTTGGATCGGTGGTTGCTCAGCAGCACTGCATTTGTCTCCCATGTTGAGTCCCTGGGTTAGATCCCAGGCAAAGTTTTTAAAAAAGAGAAAAAAGGGGGGGGTTGAGGGAAGGTAACAAGGTAAACCCTATCTAATCAAGTAGAAGGGTAGAAAACAGATTATTATTTACATCACTACACTAAAAAAAAAAAATATCTAAGTTAGTGCAACTGTTCTGTACAAAACTTACTAGTAGGGAGGCCAGGGAGAAAGCTTAAAAGGCTGGTGTTAGCAAAAGCATAGAGCTCCGGGTTTCAGCAGGGGAGCAGCTCCTGAGTTCCAAAAGGTGAGTCCCCAAAACAAAACAGTAATTTGCTAATCCAGACAAAGAAAATCATCTCAACAGAACTCACGAAAACATGAATACAAAGAAACAGCAAGGTGGGTTGGAGTGATAGTATGCAGGTAGGCAACTTGCCTTGCATATCGCTGACCCAGGTTAATATATGGACCCCCCAATCATTGCCAGGAAAATACCTGATCATCACTGGGTGTGCCCCCTACCCCCAACAAAAAAGACAAAAAGCAAGCAACATGTTTATCTAAACCCTAGATCCTTTATTATTAACTTGAAAAAATGTTAGACACCATGATTTACATAGTTGTTTACAGTAGATTTTTAGGCATGTATGGTTCTATCTTCACTTCCATCACCCCCTGTCTCCATCCCTCCCATGTTTATCCCATATTGGGGCCCATACCTCAATCTGACACCTTGACTGTTCCATTTGTTGTTATTGTTGTTGGGGGGCCATACCTAGCAGTGCTCATGGGTCACTTCTAATGATGCTTGGAATAATACATCGTTCCAAAGATTAAACCTGGGTCAGCAATGTGCAAGGGAAACAACCTACCCACTGTACTATTGCTCTGGCCCTTTACTATTACATTTTTAAGTTTAATGATTTGGGCCCCATGTTAATGGTGTTGTCGGATCCCGTGGCTTAGATATATATATAAATACTTTGCATCTATACCACAAAAGGGCTCAAGGTTTCAGATTCTTGCTCCGCAACCTACATTGCTAAACTTTGAGTTGTGGACCCATATCACAAAAAAAAAAATGACAATGAAAGGTTTCTGAACATACAACAAGCAAAAATTAATTCAAAATCATCAATGTATATCTCAGCAGGCCCACCTCCACATCCTAGACCTTCTGCTCGTTTCTCCACCCTTTCATGTAGGTTAACCCCTGGTTAATCCCCCGGCCTTTTGGGAACAGGAAAGAGATTCCTTGCCTTCCAGTTGGAACCCAGATGCTTCTATTTTTGCTGGGAGTTTTTGAGCATCTTGGCTCTCGGTGCTGCACTCAACACTGGGAAAGTCTTCTGATTTCTTTAACTCATGTTTCTTCATTGAATTTGGCTTTCTGTACTTTAGGAACGCTGGTGACTCTTATATTAATTCCTCTTGAACTCACCCCATAGTTCCCTGGTGTGTTCATTTCTTTTTAGACGTTCCCCCTTCTTTTACTGTGTTCTCAAGGCCACTTGCATGTTGTCTTGGAGCTCACTGATTTTTTTTTCCTTAGCTGCTGTTATTGTTGAGGACTTTTACTGAATTTTTCCTATCACCTACCATACTCTTCATTTCTATTACTTATGACATTATAATAAGAATGTCAATAGCCAAAAGGAGAGAAAGCAGAAGACAGAGGGGGTAGAGGCTTGCCTTGCACATGGATGACCTGGGTTCGATCCCTGAGCCCAACCAGGAGTAATT